GGGGTGGGGGTTGAGAGTGAGAGTGAGAGGAGTGGAGTGGAGTGGATTGGATTGAGGTAGATTGGGAAGATTGAATATTGAGAGCGAGGGGACTGAGGAGTGGAGATGGAAATTGAGTGGATTGAGAGTGAGAGTGAGAGTGAGAGTGAGAGTGAGAGGAGATGGAGATGGAGATGGAGATGGAGAGATGGGGTTGTTATATTTTGAAAGGATAATTGGATGGATGGAGGTGGAGGGATGGAGGGATGGAGGAATAGTGGGAGGTTTATGTGGTATGTACCGAGTATAGTGAATTTGTGAATATGTGAATTTGGGGTTAGGGGATGAGGTGAGGTGAGGTGAGTGAGGTGAGTGAGGCATGGTAAGGCAGATGGATGTGGATGGATTTGTGAGGTGGATAAGGTGGATGACGTGAGGTGTATGCATGTCTCTGTGGTTGGGGTGTAGTAGGGAGGTAGGTTGGTGGGTCTGATGATGGGTTGGTTGTGGATTGGATGCAAGATGATGATATAGATATAGCTCTTTCCCCATTTCCCCCTCCTCGCAAGATTCCTCATCTTTTCTACAGTACTACCACTATCACTACCACTCACTATACTTGCTTGATTTCCGCCTTTCTTTATTTTATACTTATATATTATATTGTATTCACATTTTGATTTTTTATAATAAAATGAGTAATTAACCATTCTGAGGTTTCCTCGTCTCGTAGAGACTCTGACCGCAAATTACTAGTATGGTCCGTGCGAAGGCAGTGAGAGGTGGGGATAGTAGTTGCATATGGGTGCTTTTATAGATTTCAGGCCTAAGCGAGATAATCTTGTAGTGTGGTTATAAAAACTCATTAGTCATATACTAATGAAGTTGTTGATTTGGAGGTTTTGAATATTTTGATGAGGAAGCCTGTTCATTCTATTTCTGATCTAACCAGATGTGTTATCTTCAGATTTGGGTCGGAAGAACTATCTCCGGAGTTCTGAAGATAATGTATTCGGTATAGTTTGGTTTATGCACAGACCCCTATAGTAGTTTGCGGTCAGAGTCTCTACGAGACGAGGAAACCTCAGAATGGTAGTTAACTACTTACTTTATTATTTTTGTCTTTCTTTTCTTTTCTTTTCCTTTTTCCCTCTCTTATTTTCTTGTCTCGTTTGTCTTTTTCTTCTATAATATAGTATACTATACTATGCTATATATAGATCGATCTACCGAGAATTCTGAAATACAGCGTTTCAGCAAAGCTAGGCTAGGTTGTGCTGCGATATACTGTGATTGATACGATATATAATTATACTACACTGTAATATATTATCAACCCGGATGTACTCGAGTAATATCATTGGACTTTGAAGTACAGAGTTTAAGGTTTTGAAGAAGCATTATGAAGAAGCGTTATGAAGAAGCGTTATGAAGGACAGTACAATTGTACAAGTGATACCTTAAGATAGCTAGCTGCTGTAGATAGCTGTAAATAGAGTGATTCCGGGAGTTATTGGTAGGTATATTACTTGAATTTCTACAGGGAATATTGAATTGAAATTGGAAAGTTGAAAAGGAGAAGCTAATTCCTTCAAAACTGTAACGAATGTGACAATCGATTCATTGAGCAAGGAAATGTTTAGCAATAGGGTTGTGTGTGAAGTGAAGTGAAGTGAAGTGAAGAGGGGTTATTTAGGTGGTAAATAATGGTTTATATGGCAAGCTGATTTAACTTCAAGATCAAGGTGGTTAGATTGTCTCTTGAAAGTTGATACGATGCCTGATACCTGATTATGGGAAGGGGGTTTTTGAGGATGGGAATTCTTGTCTATTGGTGCTCGGTTTAGGCTAGGCATGTATTTTTTAACGCGATGGAATGAATGGTTGGGATGTGTTGGGATGTGCTGCGATATCGTATTATATGTGTGTGAATGATGGCTTACTTGTTGGGTTTGCTGTGGATCTATGATATCTGTTAGTTGTTTCATGATGATTTGACTTTATGATATGAGAATTAATCAACGGCAGAGGCAGATTGATCTGTTAGGGTTAGGGCTAGAGGTATATTGATCAGAGAACGATATTTAGCAACGGAATGATAAGTAGTATCTACTACAGAGATGATTGGAATTTCGCCTTTCGTTGGACCTTCGAGAACGGACGCAACAACTTTTTCTTTGACTAGGAGGAAGAAGAATATATAGATTGGATTCAAATCAGTGTCTATTTTCAGATTGGGACTTTCTTGAAACCCAGGAACTCTTTCAGATTTCTTTCGCAGTAGTAAGTTGCCAAGGTTGGGATATCAATATATTCAGTCGAGTAAAATGGAGAGAATATACTTGTTAAACGTGGACTTCCTCGATCCACCACACTTTTCCCAAAAATCAGCATCTTCCAGATCTATACCATCTCCCACTTCTTCCTCTCACATCTTCATAATTTGTGTGTCAAAAGCCTGTTGAAAGAGGCTCCAATGGGCAGAATCGCACGCATTGTATATGTAGCATGTGCGTTAAGCGACTGAGCCAGTGTGATTGACAGGAGAATATCCGGATTGACCTCTAATAGTATCTTGGATCGATTGTATCCATTGACTGGAGGTTGATCAGAATCATGCATGGGAGTAGGGCTTGCTATGCTGGCCATGGTGCACTTCTGGGGGAGTAACTGCTGTGAGGTTGAAGAGAGACAGACGCTTGTTGGATATTCTGCAAGAACACTGAGGATGGAATTTGCGATATAATTGGGGTAATGTTAGAGCTCGCGGAAGAGCGCCAACTGAATTGTGTGATGCATTGTTTTCGACGGCAAGTCGTAAGGTAACGTAAATAAAGAGTGTGTAGTTGAGGTATAGGCTGGGAAGACGAGGTAAAGACAGGTGGAAGTTTGATCAAAAGGGTATGTACGAAAAGCTAGAAAGTGCATGTGTATTTACCAAGAGTAGAATTGTAGCGGTACCTTTACCCAAGGGTGATAATGTAGCGATAGCCAGGCCAGCTGTCTTAACTTCGAATTCCAGCTTGATTGGTACTTTCGAGCTCTCGTCTCCTGTCCGAACCATTTCTCCCAGTTATTTTCCTCGAGATGATTTCCGTGTATTGAGTTTTCCATGGAGTGTTTAATTTGCCGTTACGCTGGATACCATGTATCACACCCGGAAAAGACTTTGGTATCAGATGAGCATAAGGTATCTTGTTCGTCGTCGTTCGAATTCCTACGAAAATCGAAGATAGTGCAATAACTCCGGTGACCCGAATGCCCAGTTTGACGAACCAATCACCGTTAAGTGCCAATTAGACCTGTCTATGGCTTACCGTACTGTGCCACTTCACGCAAACTCAGTTGACAACCATAGAGCCGGCTACTCGTAATTCCCTCCTCGTTGTATTGCCATTTCAAGTTGCGATATGACTCAATATCACTCAGGTGGTCTTTCTAAATACCAGTGCCGGCAGACGCAAAGTCCGAAGCACTCTGTGTGTCCAGAGATTCCTAGGGTTACATTTGCAATTGATCATCCGAAAATTGACTTCATCTCAAAGTTGATATGTCACATCGAAATATCGTTTCACCCTGAATGCAGGAACCCATTCGCTACCGACATGACCACTTCTACTCTTCACATATATCATGAGCATAATGCTAGTGCTTAGTGCTTCGTCAGAATGCCGTTTGGTTATATAATTAGCTTTAAGCTTACCTATCTGCTCTAGACTACAAGCCCAGTTTTGGCCTTGCCTTCTTCCTCTTCTCCACACCTTGGCTTGTTCAATCGTCGAGTTATGAGGAAAGCCTCTGATGTCACGGATGTCATTCGGATGTCACTGAAATATCATTACTGTCCTTACCACTCTGAGACATATTCTGCATTCTCCGACATCTTCATTCCTCGTACTCAAGGCACTTCCTGATGTCGGAGAATAATGGTCTCTCAAAGATATGTTTCGGGAAGACCACGAGTTATTTCTTTGTTACTTTCTCAGAATTTTTATCAATGGAGAGTGTAATTCTCTTGGACTGTAATTTTTATTTGACATATAATCCCGCACCAAAGTAGTATTGGTTCTCAACTAATGGAAAGCTGTTGCCAACGGTTATATAACGCCCTATATTCCTTTCATTGTTTCATGAGTTTGGACATATACGAAGATAATCAATTGCACAAAGTTTAACGATGTTCCTTCTACGTCTTTTTGTCGGCAGTATTCTAGCATGTACGTGGTATTTCTGACGCTTGCCCAGTCAATTACTGATCGATTAGCTTCTACAATATCCGCCCAACATGTCTCCAAATGCGCGGGTAATGTATGCTTTGCCGTCAATGTACCAGCATCGACTGTTTCGGGTGGCTCAGGGGACATATACATCCATATAAGCGGACCAGATACAATGTCCTGGATAGGCATTGGACAAGGCTCTGGTATGAGAGGTTCCAATATCTTTGTGATATATGCCGATGCGGCTGGAACCAATGTCACTCTCAGTTCTAGGCACGGCGTTGGACACCTAGAACCGAATCCCGACATCTCTGCTCAGGTGACTCTACTTGATGGTTCCGGGATTTCAAATGGTCAAATGGTAGCCAATATTAAATGTACGTTCGAGGTAAAAACTGTTTGCAATCTTTTTTTGACAATTTGAGCAGGTTCAAATTGTGATAGCTGGAGCGGTGGATCCATGGGCTTCACTGATGCTTCCTCGGAGTGGATTTGGGCACACAAGACCGGCGCTGCTTTATTTTCCAATAGAAATGATGCAAGTATTGAATTTCACGACGAATTTGGACTCGCCAATCTGAACCTGCAGACAGCTACCGGCGGAGAAAGCGCGAATCCATTTTTGACGACTGGATCAGTCCCTACACCTAGCCAAACATCCTCTGGGGCTAATGATGCTACGACTGGACCATCTGACGCAGGGAGAGTAGCCATCGCACATGGAGTTTTGGCTTCCCTTGCCTATGTCATTCTCTTTCCTTCTGGTGCGATCGCAATTCGAATTTTTAGTTTTCGCAATTTGCTATGGCTACATGCCGGGTGGATGATCACCGCTTACATGATTGTACTTGCGTCCGTTGGAATGGGTGTATGGATGGCTTACTCGTATCAAGCTCTTGGCACCGCTCACTCAATCACCGGTCTTGTTGTTGCTGGATGTTTGTTACTTCAACCTATCTCAGGATTGACGCACCACCTGCTGTACAAGCGTCATGGTAGCCGCAATTTTGCAACTTATCCACATGTCTGGTGGGGTCGCGCAATTCTTAGTCTTGGTATTATTAACGGTGGTTTGGGTCTAAGGTTAGCCGATAACAGCAAAAAGGGTGAGATTGCGTACGGTGTGATAGCAGGTTTTATGTGGACCCTGTGGATGGCGGCCATTCTACTTGCAGCAGCAAAGAGCAGAGGAAGTCGTGGAAGTGGTATGGATGAATATGGAGACTCGGTAATACGGGAGAAGTCCAGCACGGAAGGATCGTACTTTCATGATAACACATCGCCGTCTCAATCCATGCAGGGAGCACCCAACACTACAGGATTACCCATCTCTAATCGTGCTTAGATGCTACCAGACTTTCTGGCACCTTGAAGAAGAAAACTCATGAGAGAAATCGTGAAATATATTCAATATCCTTAACGGCGGTAAAGATGTCGGATGGACTTCTTGAGAAAGAGGTTGGTATAGGTATTTATTCGGGCGAACAATTTGCGTTTTTGTTGTTGAGCACCGATTTTTAACAGAGTATCATTGAAAGCATTATATATTCCTTACATATGCACTTAGAATGTTAACGCTGCTTGATATTCCCCCCTCAAGACCAGTGCAAATTTACAATAGTCTTCACGTGGTCGAGGATTGAGGTTGGAAGTTCGCTAAGGCCGATTACATAATAGCATTGCACATTTGATTCACAGTTTCGAATTTTCCTGCTGGTATATTGCTCGTTGACACACTGTAAATAAATTTGTTCGTATCACCAACTGCACCATGGGAATAGGGCGTGTTCTCGTCATCGCGGGTTCTGATAGTTCCGGTGGAGCGTTAGTACACCGAAAATCCTCTCATTCCGCAACTTTACCCCGCCACAGACTAACGATTACCTTCTCAGCGGGATCGAAGCCGACCAGAAAGTGATTGCGGCACACGGGTGCTATGCTATGACTGCCACAACAGCCTTGACAGCCCAAAATACTCAAGGTGTTGAGGATATTCATTATGTCCCAGCGGAGTTTGTTGGGAAGTTGATTGATGTGTCAATTGGGGATGTGGGGGTTGATGTCGTGAAGACTGGTAAATCGTTCTGTATTTGTATCTGATTAAAAAAGATGTGATTTTGAATATACATAGGCTAGAGACTGACGATATGAAGGTATGCTAGCTTCTGGGGAAACAGTACAAGTGGTGGCGAAAGCATTGCAAAGACATCACGTGAAGTCTCTGATTGTTGATCCTGTGCGTTTACTTTAATTTTCCCAAAACCCATAGGGGATCAATCTGACATCCGAAGGTCATTGTCTCTACAAGTGGATCGCAGCTTCTTCCTTCTACGGCTATCCGCGAGCTACGAGAACTTCTGTTGCCCTATACCACCGTACTTACACCCAATGTGCCTGAAGCGAAGTTACTTCTTTCCGATGCTGGCAAGGTTGTTGATGAACCAAAGAACCTGAATGATTTGATGAATATAGCGAAGCAGGTACAATCATTGGGGCCTAAATATGTATTGGTAAAAGGAGGTCATCTGCCTCTAAAGAATGATAAGACAGTGGCGACGACGGAGGAGGAAAGGGAACTCATGGTTGACATCTTGTATGGAGAAGGAGTGATCACAGAAATTTGGTCTAGATATCAAAAATCGCGGAACACCCATGGAACGGGATGCTCGATGGCCTGTGAGTTTCCCTACATATTACCTGGTGAAATAGACAGGAGCTAAGTGGAAGCAGCCGCCATTGCTTCTAACATTGCGAACGGGATGCCCGTGGTACAAGCCGTGAGGAGTGCATGTCGGTATATTGAGGCAGGAATACGAACGGCGCCAAACCTGGGAAAAGGCAATGGCCCGATCAATCATTTCCATTCAAATTACAGTTTACCTTTCGCTCCGTAAGTCTCACTTCTCAATTATCAGCAAGCTCCTGGACTGATCTTCGCAGGGGTCGCTTCGTGGAATATCTTCTGGAGAGACCAGATGTCAAAGGGGCTTGGCGAGACCATACCGAGCATGCGTTTGTTGCTGGACTTGGAGATGGAACTTTACCAATGGAATCTTTCAAGTACTATCTCATCCAGGACTATCTGTACCTTGTTAGTAGTGGTACCCAGAAATTCATAGATACAGTCTAACATCTGACAGGTGCAATTTGCAAGAGCCACTGCCTTAGCTTCGTATAAAGCCAAAACTATGGAGGGCATTGCGGCAGTATGAGTCTAGTACCCTGTGAGATACGGAATGCTAACTCCCAATGAAGTCTGCAGGTATCGTACTCCATATTCACCGCGAGATGGCATTGCATATCAATTATTGTGAGGGGCTCGGCATGACGAAAGCAGAGATTGAAGCTTGCGAAGAGAGTCAAGGTAAGCTCCTTCGCATCAACAAGTTGAGTTAATTTTGACAGCACCGAAATAGCATGCACAGCATACACCAGGTATACCAATCCCTCTCTTTGATTATCAATACAATACTGAAATTAATAGGTATGTCCTCGATATCGGACAATCTGAAGACTGGCTGGCCCTTCAAATATCCATGGCGCCTTGCCTTATCGGCTATGGAGAAATTGCAAAACGACTGCATGCAGACCCGAAGACAAAACGGGAAGGAAACATCTATTGGAAATGGATAGAGAATTATGTTGCAGATGATTATACGGAAGCAGTGAATGTTGGATCAGGTAACGATATAACAACCCTACGGCTCATGGGATTGGATAGAGCTGACGATTTGGGCAGCTTTGCTTGAGAAACATGCTGTTTTGCAATCACCCAATAGGATAGAGGAATTGGTCAAGATATTTGTTCATGCAACAAAGGTACGTACCTAGGTTTTTCTAATCATAATTTTTGTAAGATCGATCGGATATCCCCCACCCATATTGCCATAACCTTCCTTCCATCGCAATTTGTACTGTAATACAAACATAGGAGTAATTCAATTTAAAGAAAGCTTTTGAAACAACCATGAATATTTTGCTGATTGCCTTTTAGATGGAAACTGGATTTTGGGACATGGGTAGTGGAGGAAAGGTATGAATTTTGAAGTTCAATACAGGTACCAAAGCCAAAGCCACAGCACCGGTAGCTAGTGAATACGAAACAGAGAAAGAAAAATTGCATTCAGAGATTTACTGTATTTTGAACAATTTTATTGTTTTTATTGGCTCCCCAAGAAGAAGAAAAAGGTCGGGGAAAGAATCATTTTTTTTTCGCGATTCAAACTAAAAAACTCGAATAACGCTAAATCTTTATTAGTATTAAACCTAAATAACTCTAGCGTGATTTCCTTTCTGCCTTTTTTTTTACTCAAACCTCTTCTTTCTCACTTTCCATTACTTTTGATTTCTTTTCATCAACAACAACAATCCTTTTGCCAGACTTCTTCTCATCAAACCAAGAAGTCATACTCGCAGTAATCATCACAGCGACTTTCAAATCACCATCATAAACTCCCACTCTTTAATCTCACTTTCTCAAAACACATCGCAAATATGTCGTATGGAGGAGGATATGGCGGTGGCGGCGGCCGTGGTGGCGGTAACGGGTACGGAAATGATGATTCCTCATATGGCAGAGGCAACTCTTACTCCAATAGATATCCAAATGGGTATGCAAAAACCTACGAGTTTAAATATTGTCGATAAGTTTTCGCGCATCGCGTTGCATTGTGTTGAGTGTTTGAGAGATAAGGCTAGCGTTTGCTTTTGAGCTGAAGCCTAATCTCTCCTCGCGATCACAATGTAGCACCATCTTCCTTCTTCGATCTCAACTCTGATGTGAATATTTACTGACGTGCAATCTGTAGTGGATCCAATGGTTACTCTGGTGGTGGAGGTGGCGGTGGAGGTGGTTACGGTGGAGGTGGAGGTGGCAGAGGTATGTAAATGAATTCTCACCCTCTTTCAATCAATGTTAACAGTCTTCATAGGCGGCGGCGGCGGTGGTGGTGGAAATGTAAACGGCTACTCTGGAGGTGGTGGTGGTGGCGGATACGGAGGCGGAGGTGGAGGTGGATACGGCGGTGGTGCTGCTGGTGGAGACCGCATGTCCAACCTTGGTGATGGTCTTCAAAAGCAAAGCTGGGGTAAGTTTGAATCCATGCCGTCAGATAATTGATAGAATACTGACTTTCATTTGCAGACCTTGACGTCATGCCAAAGTTCGAGAAATCTTTCTACAAGGAAGACCCAGTTGTCGCTGCCAGGTCAGAGGAAGATGTTGCCAAATTCAGAGCTACACACAACATCGCAATTCAAGGTCCAAATATCCCAAAGCCTGTCGAGACCTTCGACGAGGCTGGTTTCCCTGCATACGTCATGACAGAAGTTAAGGCCCAAGGTTTCCCAGCACCTACTCCAATTCAATCTCAGGGTTGGCCTATGGCTCTCTCTGGACGTGATGTCGTCGGTATCGCCGAGACCGGTTCTGGAAAGACTCTCACCTACTGTCTCCCAGCCATCGTCCACATCAACGCACAACCACTTCTCGCCCCTGGCGACGGTCCTATTGTTTTGGTTCTTGCGCCTACCCGTGAGTTGGCTGTTCAAATTCAACAAGAAATCACCAAATTTGGAAAGTCCTCCCGCATCCGCAACACTTGTGTTTACGGAGGTGTCCCTAAGGGTGGTCAAATCCGTGATCTCGCCAAGGGTGTTGAGGTCTGCATTGCTACCCCAGGTCGTCTCATTGATATGATTGAGTCTGGCAAGACCAACCTTCGTCGTGTTACATACCTTGTTCTCGATGAGGCTGATCGTATGTTGGATATGGGTTTCGAACCACAAATCCGTAAGATCCTTGGACAGATCCGACCTGACAGACAAACTTGCATGTGGTCTGCTACTTGGCCAAAGGAAGTTAGAGCTCTTGCTTCTGATTACTTGAACGACTTCATCCAGGTCAACATTGGTTCATTGGAGCTCTCTGCTAACCACAGGATTACTCAAATCGTCGAAGTTGTTTCTGAATTCGAGAAGCGCGATAAGATGACCAAGCATTTGGAAAAGATTATGGAAGACAAGGATAACAAGATTCTGATATTCACAGGAACCAAGCGTGTTGCTGACGACATCACACGCTTCCTCAGACAAGATGGATGGCCTGCGCTTTGTAAGTACTATTGCCAACATTCATACGAAACATCACTAACATTATTTAGCCATTCACGGTGACAAACAACAAAATGAGCGTGATTGGGTATTGAATGAATTTAAGACTGGCAAGAGCCCAATCATGGTTGCTACTGATGTAGCTTCGCGTGGTATTGGTATGATTAAAACCCCCTCCCCCCTCACAGCAACGCCCAGTCGCCTATACAGTGATGCTTTACTCTCGATGCTTCGGCGATTCCTAGATTGCGTTATATTGCCCGGGCTCTATCGTGTCTTTAGGTTCTCTAATTTTAGGGTGTCTTGGATCCTTAGTGTAGCATGACTGCTGCGCTCGTAATTCCAAACTCGACAGTACTTTAACAAGTACCAGATATGGAATTGGCATTTCTTGACTTGCTCAAGCTGTCTCCAAGACTCCCATCCCCAGAGAGCCTGGATGTGTGGATCACCTACCCTGGCATAAGCCGCATTGGACAGTTTCATGCCAGTCGCCGAGAGAGTACTGGGTGCAGTCAAATGCAGCTTCTTCATTAGCCGCCCTGGACCGTTGCTATACCAATTTTTCTGTTCTTGCTAACCCGTGAATAAAGATGTCCGAAACATTACTCATGTTTTCAACTATGATTACCCTAACAACTCGGAGGATTATATCCATCGTATTGGTCGTACAGGTCGTGCTGGACAGACTGGAACTGCAATCACTCTCTTCACCACTGATAGTACGTCTTCTATCCACTTTGTGATTTACATTGGCTAACAATATAATTTAGATCAAAAGCAAGCGCGTGATCTCGTGAACGTTCTTACTGAAGCGAAGCAGGTCGTTGATCCTCGCCTCGCTGAGATGACCAGATTTGGAGGTGGTGGTGGTGGTAGTAGAGGATACGGTGGACGTGGCTACGGTGGTGGTGGCCGTGGACGTGGTGGTGGTGGTGGTAAGTCTTTCTAAACTCCTTTTGCCATCTTACTCTCCCTTGTTCCATCCGATGATGGGACTAATAGAGCTGCTGGCAGGCAATTTTTCGTCTTCTAACGTTGCTCCTTTAGGTGGAGGCAGACGTTGGTAAGATGTCCAATCCCGATTGATCGAAACGGAGTTATGACAACGACGGCTCTCGATAACCGACATCTTTGACTACGACGGAAACACGTATATTCATCCCATGGTCTTTTTGGCGTTTGGCTGTCTTTTAAAATGGGTAGGGAGGGGGTAGAACTGCCTCTTATGATTTCTGCGTGCCTTTCTAAGACTTCTGTAATTTGACCTTTTCATTTCTTTTCGGCTTCTTAAAAATTGGGTGGCATTGCCATGTATTAGACTGAGGAATGAAGTTGAGCAGATGGTATTATAGATGCTTCGCATTTCCGGGTTCACCTGATGAAAAGATGAAGGCCAGGATCTGCATGTGCTTTTATCTTGCGTTTTCTTTTTTATTACTAGATTGCTCTTTTTAGTTGGTGTTAAACTAGGAAACCTCTGATATTAGATCAGAAATGGTGTGAAAAATGAGATGGTTGGATTCTCAATGATAACTTTCTCAAGTGTACTTTTGTGTGTGATTTGCCTTTATAATGCATAATCCTTTGATTGAGGGATGATTTCTTCCGCATATAAGTTTGTACAGCCAAGGCTAGCGGCGAAATAGACACAATTTCATGCCAAAGTCTCAGTATATACAGATACGTACACCGCAGTGTTACAAAGTAAGAAGAGTAAGCAGACACTGTTTTTGTTGGTAAATTGAAGGTTAGAGAAGAAAGAAGCCGAGGAAATTTACTTAACTTCTCCAAGGATTATACAAGTACAGTCTGTGGCACAAAAGTTCCGCCCACTAATGCGCGTCAGTTCATCACCTCATAAGTAGCTATCTAATCTAACACAGTTCAAGCTAAAGTGGCTGGCAGTGCTTATATAACACTTGTGGTTAGGTGTATGTTATGTTAGTAGAAGAAGCTGGAGTGCGTGGGTGGGTGCAGAGACTTAGAGTGAGAGAGAGACGCATACAAAATCTCCGGTTCTTGGGAGTGCGCCATCGGCATTGAGCAATCGGGAATGGGCAATCTTTGAGTATAGACTGTATATAGCCGGATTTCAGGCATAGAATTGCGCATTCTCGAAGGTGATGTTGTGCCTTGTCGAAGATGGATGCTGGTCTCCCTCTCTCTCACCTTACCTTACCTTCTCTCGCAGACTCTACTCTTTCGCATTAGGGGATGCAGGTACAACAAGCCAGAGAAGAGAAGAGAAGAGAAGAAAAGACATATGATACCGGTTCTAGAGTATCGGTGTTGAATGGTACATGTAAAGTATCTCCTAGCTTTACGATGTAGAATGTAAGATTAGAATAGAGAACTTGCTTGGCTTGGCTTGTTGCGGGTGGAGATGAGACAGTGACTATACTTGTTAGATACCATTGACTCAAAGGCAGGACTGATTTACATCGTGGTAGCAATGAAACTGATGTGCAAAAATATCCCCAGCGTGTCAAAGAACCACGGAAAAATAAAACTTACGATGAAGCCCAAAGAGACACGGTCTCGGTACATCCATTAGAAGCTTTTCGTCTTACTGGTATCTGATGATTAGATCTTCCGTCAATGTTACCGCATGTCACCTCGAAAGTTGACACCTTGAATTGGGGCATCCCAGAACGGCCGGGAATGCTACATGGGTATACGTGGGGCTGGGTGCCTCCTTGAAAGGAGGTAGATGTTAGCCGAGCCAGTAGCTGCGACGGGGATAATCCAATAAGCTGTTACGTTGACGCTGCACTAGTCGATGGTACAATTGTCAAGCTGCCAGAAGAATATAGTTAGTCGTGAAACATATGTCGTTATTCAGAGCCTAACCTTTCCCAATAACCAGAAGCGTTCGCTACTGTGTACAGACGCAGTTAATCAGATAGTATCAGATCTAGAATTCAGCTACGACTTCGGTCTGGTGAAAGGAGATGCTGGGGTTTTCTGTATACATCGACTAAACTACAGAAGCCTCGAAGAATATTGGAACGCAGTCGTTATGAGTGCCGACGAGTCAAAAGGAGGTCCACTAATCAGATCTCGAAGAGGTTCTGCAGTGACACTATATCATCCTGGAAATCCGGTAGGCTTCCTTATCATTTCAAGCATCAACAGTTCAAGAGTACTAATAATCCCGGAGCTTGCTGTCGTTCGGAGTTGAGCATCAGGTAGCCTTGACTACACTCTCTTTTCGAAAATTTCACTTTCACATTATACGGTAGCAGCCAGAGCTATCCAGGCAAAAATGACAACTATGCCTCTATCGGTTCCGGCGGAAATGTCTCTTTAAAGAGCCAGGTTTGGCGATAGTTTTGTTGGTACTCTTGTCCCATTCGAGATCGAACAAACCCTATGGCTTTTCTGAAAGCGACATTGCAATAAGAGCCCTGCTTGATATCCAAGTATATGGTGGGTTGAAGCTTCCAGATACTCGAGCCAACTTTCTCCTAATTCGGTGACCTCCCAGGAATTCAGCAGCATACTGGGCTCATTCACATGAAACATTGTCTGCAGACTGTTGCCACTCTGTATGGTCCATGATTTCGCGAGAACTCCTGACTAGCGTGAAAAGATACTTTGCTCCCTATGATTTTGGCAGCTATGATTTCATTACCTGTACTATAGGGTCAAATGGAGGATATGTGTTGATGGAACGTCGATCAGGAGATCAGGAATTTGTTCCACTGCTCCTCAGATGTTTCCGTACTCCGGAATCTATGACATCGGTTGCTCAGAACTGGTTTATGGAGACTTGGAAGCCGTGAACCTAATTCAAAGCGTTTAACTTTAAACTGGGGAAATGATGTTTCTAAAGCTGCAAAACAATGCCTTTGTAAATCTTAAGAAGTGGGAAAAGTTCATGACCGCCATGATGAGATTTATGGCGGTATACAGATGCGAATGCCCCATTCCACGCCGTGATCTTGCAAACGGTCTACACCCTCATTCTTGAGAAGTTACCAACTGCGAACGGGTGTCGATTCTTGTCGAAGGTTTCTCAGAATGGTGGAGTTCTTTTTTTTGAAGATTCTTATACCAATATGGATCAACCGGCGAGTCAGGTTGTCATGGACAAGACGACGGGCATCATTCAGAGGGTTGGCAGGATCACTAGATCAGCAATGACTCAGAAAATGATTGAGCTGATACAGGCTCAAGTCCTCAAACATTGAGAAGCCTATGTATGTATGGCATAGGCAAGGGACCAATTGCTGATTGACCCAGAGCTAGGTCAGGGTGGGTTTGGGGGGATTAGGATGATTGGGTGCAGGCTTGGGTTGCACCGATATGTGATTTAGATAATCGATAACATCCGCTCCCAAAGTAACTCTTTACTAAAGTAGATGTTGATAAGAGAATAACCATATTGAAATTCTCCAGAACCTTGATTGCAAATGTGCATACTTAAACATGTATCGAGGGAGAAATGCTTCGGTACATATATAAACGAAAGGTCGGGCATTTTTTGGCCGACTTTTGTTTCCGTGTTTGTACATTTCCCTCTCTATTGATCATCCGTGGAGAACACAACAACCTACGACTACAGTGAGTGTCACTGAGCTTGGTTTAGCATTCGGTTATACTTCATCAAATTGAGAGGAACCAAGAAGTGAAATCATGGACGCCGGTATGAGAGTTGGAAATCTACACACTGCCATTGGAATAGGATAGGACAAGATACCTAGGCATAGGTATGCATCTCTTCCAAGCAAACCATCGATACCGATACCTGTCAGTCAAATAAATTCAAAGTCCTGCAGGATTCCATCGTTACTCGAACTTGGTAGTACTGATCTCTCAACATGTGCCACGAGTATACTATTTCGGATCCATCTGCGTTACATATGTAATCATCAAGCCAAACAAGTCCACTTAGAATCGATGCGAGCCTCGGGACCGAAGATGAGATTTGAGGTATGATTTGTGTTCTTCAGCTCCTTCATTCTCATTTTTATAGTATCAAATGGAGAGATATCCAACCACGCCGTCGTGATAAGTGACAATCACTTCACATCTGATGGCCCGCCTCGTAAGATATACGGTGGACCTTCGGGACCGAATATATGTCGATATGCAACAAATCTTTGGAAAGAAATTTCCATTGGCTGAGATTGGTGGTACAATACGTTCATAGTTGTGCGAAGTGCAAAGTGCATATGGTTCCAGTTGTTTCGCTCGAGTTGGGCAATTAGCTGGTAAATTATGTGGACATTGCCGCCGTCGCATAGGTTAATGGGGAATGCTTGTCGCCAGTGGTGACAACACTCTCGCTGCTTGGCGATTTGTCTTCAACTGTTCTTCCAAGAAAGGGTCTCATCTTCACTGGACTTGGTTCACCTCTTACAGCCCTGCAGGTCATCACCAAACCAAAATCCCACGCTGTTGCACATAATTCAGAGAAGAGGCCGAGTGATTTCTACCCAGCTACGAGATCGAAATTGAGCTGGCCATATACATGGCATACTCTCAACACATTCGATAACTATACGTTATCAGGCACACCTAGTAATGACTGCAATAAAGGATCCGATGAGCGGTAATCCCCCAGGTCTACTATTGTTGAATATTGGACTTCCGGGGCTACCGGTGCATGCACCAATGCTTTGCAAAGGACGTTCAACCCCAGGAAGCAGGCCATTGAGATATAACAACATTTAGGTTTTGCTCAATGGTCTCGTCCCATTCTTAACAATGATCATAATGCTCCTTCATTCTCCCTTCAACTTGAGTCATTATATTTCCTCGAAATAATGCTCTACCACCTCAACCACGGCAAGTAGTCGGCCAGCAGTCATCACCATCCTCCATTCATACCCATTCATACTTGAGCGCTCCATCCCACAGTCTAGAAATCCGAGAATTATCCCTGCTCTGAGTCTCTGACACGATCTCCATTATTTGGTAACTCACCAGCGATACTATTCTCCGTGTACAGGGACAGAGTTATCTATTACCACCCACCTTTCGATTCTGGCATATCTTCGAGCAAAACACTTTAAACCTATCCATACCATTCAGCCGAGTAACTAGTAACCTCGGAAACTACAGTATTGGGATAAGTTGAAGACATACCTTCCTTCCAGGTCATGAAATATTCTGAGGATTCCCCCGAGCACACAAGGAAACTTCAACCACCGTCCAGCAGAATCCAGAAAGGTTACGAAAAACCCCATCTCTCTGTACGTGATCACGCTTCTACTGTATACGATTTCTTATTCCAAGTCCTGTACCTTGTCATCGACCACCCCATGCTTACTCATTCCTTCCCCCATTCAACCCACCTCTGTCTCTGCCTCTGCTCCAGAATCACACAAACATATGACTCCCTTTCCCCGTCCTCCCTTCCTCCACCCATTCCCTGCCATAAAAAATAAATATCCTCATCCTCCCTCCCTCCAGATCCAAAAAAGCAAAACAAAAAAGAATCGAAAACATACAACAGCAGGGATTCGCTGGTGGTCACCCACCCAACTACTAATCTGCCGATCTAAGGCTTGTGTATGGCAGAGCGGACGGGATGCCCAATTCTCCTTAGTCTATGGTCGTATGTGACAATCAAACGACTTGTTTATCAATATCTACGAACGAGCTTAGCTCTGGCCCCTTCAGGGCCTATGAGCCCTAAAGAGGCCTCCACCTTCACTCGTACTGCGTAGCTATATATTCAATATAAATATAAATTTTGAAGCTATTCAGATCATTTTCTTGAATTTTGAAAGGGGTAGCATCAAGCTTTAGACTAAAATGTGGGGTAGATTCAAGTTCTGAATTGAATTCTGAATTCTGAAATCTGAATCTGAATATAATCAATATAGTATTAATAGGTAGCACGATGCAATCCGCCCCTATCCTCGCTTTAGGCTTGGGGGACTGATGCATCGTTGACAATATACTATTATTGATAAAACTTTGAAGCTATTCAGAGTTTTGAAGAGGTGGTCTGTGCATTGAATTCTGATTAATAATGAAGAGATCCAATCAGAATCATGTTTAGACTAAATCTGAAAGCTTTCGATTCACAACTTTTCAAAAATACTTCAACAACCACTTATTCAATAACTATCTAATCTAAAATCATGAAAATTAGACTTTTAAGAAGCTCACAGTTAAAAGAAAAAGCTATCATAGTTTATTTAAATAAAAACTCCTTATTATATGATTGTGTTGATAAAACCTCTTTTTTTAAGTTTGATGTTCCCGCACAGACCATCCGTACTTTTTGAACAGCCAATCAAATAATGGCGTGTTTTAAAATATGTATGTTAGTGATAAGACCATCTATCCTGTGAAGTGGAAGATCGAAAAGGGGGATCTTGAGATGAGATGTCATGTACTGAGTATTTGTATGGCAGTGCGGTTTGATCTATCTACCATCGGTACAATTGCAGGCCTCGAGGATTATGATCAAGAACGTATACAAATGCAGATATATGTGTTTGAGTGAGAAATAGATAGTTGTATCATAAATTTGTGTTATTTGATTTGATTCTTTCGTGATCGATCTAAATATGTACCTCTCTCTTATCACCATGGTGACTAAAAAGCATGTACACGCCTGCACATAGCGATAGAATACCCGAGCACACTATATATAATAGGAAAACAAGAAATAGGGTATCAATCCATGTATTCATTAAGCATCCGAGTAAGAGAGAAAAGAAGCTGTGGGTATTAGAAGTGGTATCACATGCACTCTCCCACGCATATTCCAAAACACAACAAAAGTCTCAGGCTAGTTCAGACTCAGAGGCCCTTCCTTTCTGCAGCAAGCCAAACAATCGAACACGTACTTGCTTGATCAATACGCAGACTCCTGACTATCCATCTCAACCTCATCTCATGGCGAAGGAGGGGACTTCATGCAAAATTCAAATGCAATGCGTCTAGCATGTTGTTTCGTCAACATCGTATCGTACAGGGGATATTAATAGAAGATTCGGAATTTTCGTGTTATACATAGCTGATTCGAATTATATGTAAAGTGCGATGTGAATTAGTTTCATGTCGATCCCGTTGTTCCTGTATAACCGATGATTTCTCGGTCATCGTCAACTAATCTACCATATCTTATAGATGTCAGTACTATGATCGAAAAAGGAGACTTAAACCGAAGATAAAAATGGAACTTACTCAAGCATTAACCTGAAGAACCATACTTCCAGGTCTGCATTTCTGAGCACATGATTCGCCCAATCTCTTCCCTGAAGGGCGATTCGCTCCGCTTCTTTCTTCCCAACATCTTCTCCCGCAAACCATCGTACTGCCTCGACCCATTCATCTCCTCTCAAGCTCAAAGGGATGTAATGCACCCAAGGCTTTAACCATTCCTCATGCCATTCTCTGAAGACAGCCATTTTGTAGACTAAACTTTTGCTTTTCAAGAATGCGTAAAACCTTCCACTGAAAGCATTTCCATCCATATCAAGTAGATACTTATATTTCCACGCATCTTGCTGCTTGGCCTGTTCCTTGACATCGAAAGATTGTTTTTGTGCATCGCAATCCCCAGGATCGCATTGTCCAACATGGGAAAAGAAAATATCAAATATTTCCTTGAAATCGCTCCGTGGCACAGTCTTCACCTGCCAGTCTTCCTTTGTCTCTTCGCCCCGATTGACCATTATTTTTGCTTGATCGCCGGAATTGACCTTTTGTACCACCTTTTGCCTGTGTTGCCGTCTCCAGCCACCATCTCGACTAAAGCCTCCGGTTGTCGAACCCCTCCAGTATATCATATCATCTTTATCCTTCCATGCTTTGTCCTCGGCTTCCTCATATGGCACCTTGCCATACCAGTACCAAGGGGATGGGTATAATATATCGGAGAACGACGAAATTTTTGATTGCGAGAAAATTGGGAACAAGTCATGTACGACGTTGAAGGCGTTAGGCCGATCGAAAAATCCGAAGGATTCACTGAAAGAAGGAGATTGGCAGATATCGGAGAATGCTGTTTGGTTGTATACAAATCCCAATTCCGTCACAGCATAACTAGCGTAATTATCCTCTTTCAATCCATCATTGAGACTCCTGGCGGCGCTATCTGGCGGGCAAGACATCCTCGAATGGGTCCAGGTTGGCTGATGAGAAAAGACATTGAATCGTGTGGTTTTGACCTCCGGCACTCGTAAGCCATCGCTAACAACATCAATCGGTCTGGGGGACCAAGAATTCCTCGGTGCTTCGACTGAATTCGCATTTGGCATATTCTGATCCTTCGCAATATGTACCAGCCGAGCTAGATCATCATATGGCACGACCACGCGAGGTTCATCGTGAATGTTGAAGCAGAGGTCCATATCAGGGAGATAATTCAAAAATGGCTTCATCATCCCAACTGTAGCTTCTTGCTGCCATTGATTCCCTCCCTCGACCTTCGTGACCTTTCCTCCTCTGATCAGCAGTCCTATTAGGTTATTTGGAAAGCCCAATGCTTCTCGTGCCCTTCCTCTTATTGTTGCCGGTTTTAGTCCCCAGAATGGCGTTAAAGAGGTATGTATGTTATCATATTCATCGATAAGTTGCACACCTTTTGACTTTGCGAAATTGTACCATTTGTCGAAGTTAGGAGGGGGAGGTATCCCATATCGTTTTATATATTCTGCCACTGCTTCCTCCAGCGTCTTTGATTGTTTTGCCTTCGTGTTCTCAAATGCTTGTTCATTATCCTTGATTAATTGGTAAATTGGGTGTGAAGGTCCAATATGATATGACGCTGTCTGCGGCTTCTTCTCAGTATCAACAGTAGTAGGTATTCGAGTATTAGGTATGCTTGGCGGTTTCAATTTCTGATTAGATGAACTCAAAGGGTTTGGTGAGCCCTCCAACGGAAAAGGCGCTCGTAGGTAGAATATCGAAAATGTAGCTAAGGTAAAAATGCTAATCAGCAGTATGAATTGGCGAGACTTCATTTTCCGCCGGGTCTTCATTATCATTGCGCTGAGAGAAGGTCGTCCCGTATCATCATGACCATCGAAAGGAACAAAATGCACTTGATCAGCGCGATGTTGGAATGCCGCACTTGAACTCCTACGACGACTCTGTCCACCCATCGTAATGGAGGGTTACAAGTAGACTCTTTGTACTCTTGCTGGTACTAGCTGATACTTCCGGTGCTTGTGAGACCCCCTTGTTCTTGGATAATTGTTAATTTATCCTTGCACAACCAATGCGGCCGTCCTGCCGACTTGGGAATGAACTCTCAAGACGCGCATATGAGTGGATAAAGTCGTGTGCGAATCGTAATGAAAACAAGGAGGAAAAGAGATAACTGTTTGTGTGCATATGGTTGGCGATGAATAGGATTTGGCAGATAATTCTCCTCTTTAGTTGAATTGGTCGAGATTCATCTTTCTCATACAGTGTACCGGTAATACTCTCGTCCAAAATGCTGGTTGTAGTGTTTGTAGTGGGGATTCCTTCCGAGGTTCTGGCCACCACAATGCTACCTCAACTCAGTTATTTGGAAGTCTGGCCCTTACTCGAACCTCCATTCCCTGGAAAAGCTATATTAATTTCCCCATACTGTACCGCACTCCTTTTCCGGGTTATGTGCGACTGGCCGACTGCAGTGTGTGTTCTATGGACTGGTTTGAGAGGCTGGCCCAAATCCGTCCAACGAGAGATGAGAGGCCGGTATCGTTCATAATTGGCAATTGCAATCCTTATTGCACTTTGTCGTTCTACAGAGCATCTTCTAGTGTAGTGTAGTAATAAACCATGATATGGCGTGTCACATTTCCTACTATGACTCGGAATACGATATATATAGATGAGAATATTTCTGTGTTCAAGCCAAAAAGCCTAGAACATGATAATATTGATGTTTACGCCGGGAACATGCGCCGTGAGGTAATCATTGGTTAGTAATTGGCTCCGAGTTCACAAATCCAGGAATTATCGTAGATACCACAGCATGTTTGCTCATTGCCCATCTGCCCATGTAGCACACTCACCGTAAGCTGACAGCCTGTGCTTCTTGCAGTGCTATGCTCGTGCCTTCAAATACCGTCTAGGAGATGCAATTGTTTATGAAAGAACGCCGATATGCTTCTGAAGAAACATTATTAAATCATTCAAGCAAAATCATCTGGAAAAATGTCACTTCAACAGTGCATGCTTCGAGCGGAGAATTATAGAATCATAAGTATAAATTGACGTTTGGTGTAGACCTATCTATTCTTCATGCGAAGAATTCGAACGATGCGTAAGGCAAGAACGAAATGGGTATATTGAGCGACCTGTCCTAGATATTACTCTAACCCTGGAAGCTGGAGACCCAAGATGGCTACATTTCTCTTCATACTTTTTATCCATTTATATGTTTTTTTGCGTCTAGTAGAAGAAGCCGAGAACCTTTCCGGCAACGTGCTTGCGTCTAGCCTCCTCGTGGTCCATGATACCAGCGGAAGTGGTAAGAACGATGTGTCCGAATTGACGGGATGGCAAAAGCTTGACAACCCACTTCTCGAAATCCTCGATCTTGACGTTGTATCTTGGGGAGATGACACCGGTCTTGTTAAGACTGTAATATAGCATTAGCAACATATTTTGGGTGGTAGAATCGTTGCATTTGCTTACCGGCCGCTCAATTGGACGACAATCTTTCCTGCTCGGTGGTCATCAACCTCCTCGAATTCTCCGATGTAGCCTAAAAGAAAGGGACATTAGTATGTTGCGAAAGATTAAACATATAACTTCATGAAAATAGATCAGAGAACGTGTAAGATCCGCGCAGTTTGATATATCGGCAACTTAAAGGACTTTGATCGTGTGGAATTGAGATCATTATCTAGTTATCATGCCGAACGGGAATATAATATAAAATGCCATCGACATACCGTGCTTTTGCATGACACCGAGGAACTTGACGATGACCTTGGAGCTTGGGCGGATGAGCACTTGACGCTTTCCGGCCTTCTCAGCGTTGTTGATGGCGTTAAGCGCATCGTTGAGGACTGAAGTCTTAACCATTTTGGCGGATAGAGATTCTCAAATAATCTGATTGATCAAAGATGAGGTGTCTGCAAAGTCGACATGTTAGCCCTCAAGATTTCTAAGCATGAAGAGTGCCCTCATGATTGACAAGAGGGTTCTAAAGCTCGTGTCGGATATTAATAGAGTGAGCAGTGTCGATATCTTTCAACTGCTATGGATCCATGATGACAGAATCGGCCGAAGCTCATCGACTTGCCGGAACTAAGGAATACCACAATTGCAGTTGAATAGATGATCGATTTACTCCTCCGTATCAATCATGAAGGACTTGCGAATATGGTTGGCATCATCGTATATAAATACACACCTCGTTATAAAATGGGCGTTGAAGTTGTCGTAGAAAGAAGAACAAATTTCGTGATCGTCGCGATATTTCAATTAAAATAATTTTCTTACTAAGGAGAAGAAATTTGAAATTCATTGTGGGAACGGCTTACCTAATTATGGACACGTGCTAGGGTCTCGCTAATGGTACATCAATTATCAACAGATTCTGAAGCTAATTTTCCAATACATTAAAATACAAATATACCAACCATACTCTTCGAGGACCTAAAGATATCATCATAATCAAGATGGTGAGTTGATTTTATTATTTTGCGATCGAAATGTGATCTGGATCATATGCGCCATTGGCGCAACGCATGGAGTTGTAGACAGTTGGGGAATATTCCCCTCCAACAACCCAGATTCAAAAAGATGGATTTTTACATTTTGAAAATAATCGTCACTAACAACCATTCCTTACATAGTCTGACGTAGAAGAGCCAACCTCCCCAATTGTCGCCGAGGCCGAAGAGGTCGAAGTGTCCGGAGATGCTGACAAGGGACAAATGTCCGTCATCGACGCATTGAAGGGTGTTCTTAAGCTTGCACTTATGCATGATGGTCTCGCCAGAGGTCTTCGTGAAGCATCCAAGGCTCTCGACCGTCGCCAAGCACACATGTGTGTTCTCAACGAGGCATGCGAGGAGGAGGCATACAAGAAGTTGGTCGTTGCTCTCTGCTCCGAGCACAAGATCCCTTTGATCAAGGTTCCAGACGGAAAGCAATTGGGCGAATGGGCTGGTTTGTGTAAGTGTTTGATGTAATGCGACTACCAGAGGATATCGCTGACAATTAATTAGGTGTGTTGGACCGTGAGGGTAACGCACGCAAGGTTGTCAACTGCTCCTGCGTTGTTGTTAAGGATTGGGGTGAGGAGTCCCAAGAGCGCACCATGCTCCTCAACTACTTCCAAACCGAGCAATAGATGTTACGGAGATGGTGTTTTCACAGTGGATAGGCATTGTATCATTCGAGTTTCTATACACATAGGATGCAATTGGTGGCAATGATATTGGCTATGGAGCGACAAAATCCGGTCCTTTCTCACAAAGTGAACGCGCGTGAAAATGCTTGATGCCCTTTAGGGACCTTGTAATCTGCTTCCCATCTTGCTACCTTCTTTTGACTTGTACCTCCATTACTCGCGGGGGGAAGATCATCAAAATTGAAAGGAAGATGGGTACCTAGCCCTATGCATAGGCTCATCTAGAACCTTACGGATGCACTCCTTTGAATCATCGCCCGACACATTTCTGCTAGCAGTCTTGTTACCTTCTACCCTCTGTATTTTGCCCACCGAATCCTTTCCATCCTTGATTCTACTTTCCCAACCACATTACTCCATCCCGTCTACTTTCTTCCCTCAACCATAACAATGTGATATCCAAATCCCGTCTTAACCTCCCTATACTTTGGTTTTGTTGTCGTACTCGCCTCCATTTCAAAAGCAACCTTCTCGAACTCCGCATCCAAGTCTCCTCTTCCCTTCCATCCCAATGCACCTCCTACGTCATCCCTCACATCAGCTTCTCTCCCCCAAAAATCATCTCACTTGAAAGGACACAAATAGGTATCTAAATATATAAACAAAAAGACCTACCAGCCCTCGCCTTATCCTCCGACAACTCCCTAGCCACATCATCAAACTTAGCACCCCCCTCCAGCTTCTGGAGCGCTTCCGTCATTTTACTATGTTTAGAGCACTATTGTAGATACACTACACATCAATATCCAAATCCATACAGAAAAATAATATAATATCAACGGCGAAAAATGAAAATGTCGAAAAGTCAGGTGAGACGCACAAGTATATGGCGAACGTTAATCTGCTGGGCACCTTTCACTTTCGTTTCTTTCGCATCGCCAGATTCATCTTTCGCCTTTCCTTTTCCTCCTTTGCCGGCGGCTTTCTTGGCTGGTGGCATGGTGATGTGATGCGGTTGGAGGTGAGGTGATGTAAGGTATAGTACCGGTGAAAGTCTGGAGCGAGATGTGATATAATCTGATATGCGCTAGCCCGATTCAATGGAGGGGCAATCATTTATGCCTGCTATCGGGACCTCGGAATGAATCCCGATCATGCCAATGGTTTGACTTCACTTCAATTTCTTCAAAGACTTGTTCTTGTGATGTTTTATTATTTCTCTTGTTCATATAATTATTTTGTGATTTCATAGAGTATTTCTCATTTGTTTCATTGTTTCTCGATTGTACAAACAGTTTCTCTATTCTAGTGATCTATTTCAATTTTCTTCACGCTTGTATGATATCATATCATACCCAGACATACCTAGAGTCTAGATATATATTTCATTCGATTGCCACTTTCTTCCTCTGCGAGTCTGCGAGAAAATAAAACTGGACATACATGAGCCATCCACAAAACACACGCACGAAATGACACCATCCATAGCCCTCGATGCCACCGGCGCATGCTCAAGCTCTCCCCCCTCCACCAAGTCTCTCTCACCCCCAGACAATTTCCACCTACTCGTCGCAGACCTCTCCAAAACTCTAGGGCCATCCTCGGGCCTCACATCCGCCGACGTAGATGTACAACAATTGCGCTCCTTGATGGAACACTACATTTCCAATGAAGATGAATGGCGAAAATATGCATTTGCAGATTTAAGCAGAGGCTACACGAGGAATCTGGTCGATGAAGGGAATGGGAAAAGTAATCTGGTACTTGATCCCCCTGCCTCCTTCCTTTCCTTTTCCTCCCTCCCCTCCTCCGTTCTCAAACTAACAACCACCCCCCACTAGTTAATACTCGTCTGGACCCCCGGAAAAGGCTCTCCCCTGCACGACCACGCAAACGCCCACTGTCTCATGAAGATACTCTCAGGCAGCCTCTCAGAAACCCAATACACCTTTCCCTCCACCTCTACCTCTACCTCTCCCTCTACGTCCCCCTACCGCTCCCAACCCGAATCCCTCTCCACCCCACCCTCAATAATCAAATCCACCACCTACACCACCAACCAAGTAACCTACATGACCGACGATCTCGGTCTTCACAAGATCTCGAACCCGGATCCTAAAAAGGTAGCCGTGAGTTTACATTTATACACGCCGCCCAATGCGGCGCGGGAGGGATGTAATATTTTCGATGAGACGTCTGGGAGGAAGAGTCATGTTACGCAATCTAATTTTTATTCGGAGTTTGGGAAGAGGGTTGGGGGAGAGTTGTAAAACGACTGTATTTTATTGTATTGTATGTTATAGAGGCATTGGGTTGGAGGCATAAGATAGCATGGCATATTTGGCGTTTTGGCATTTTACAGTGGTCATTATTTTTATCCTGCTTCTGGAATTGTGGATAACTTCCAGATCAGCCAGCTCGATGTAGGAGATGAAAGATATGGAAACGTTTTGGAGATGTGTATAAAATCATTCAGATTAGAGGCCTTTACTAGATTTACTAAAACATGTGAGAGATTTAGAAAATAGGAAATAGAGGAGAAATATGAAATTTCAAGTCAAATCTCACGTCAAGGCATTGTCTTATGGACTGTGTTTTATCATATGTACTTTGTATTCATGTCAAATCAACAGATATTGAGTCTATCAACAAGCGACTACTCAATTCTGCGGTCGTAAACTGCTACTTGGCCACTGTGATCCATTCTGAGTTTTCCTCGTCTCAAAGAGACTCTGACCGCAAACTACTGTAGGGGTCTGTACGTAGACCAGACTATACCGAATGTGTGATCTTCAGAGCTTTGGAGGTGGTTTTTCCAACCCGAATCTGAAAACCACGCATCCGGTTAGATCAGAAATGGGATAGGCAGGTTTCCTCATTATAATCACACCACAAGATTATCTCGCTTAGACCTGAAATCTATAAAAACACCTGTAGACAGATACTATTCCCACCTCTCACCGCCTTCGCACAGACTCCTATAGTAGTTTGCGGTAAGAGTCGCTACGCTCCGTCGAAAAAGCGACGATTAGACTAAGAATGACTGTGACCTTCACATACATCATAAGATGAACCTACGCTCCCTCCCTATGTGTAACAAATCATTCCAAATCTGGGTACAGAAATTTCTGCCACAAACTCTATTCCCTGACCATGTTACAATCGCTCTAACGCAAGAAACACTTATCTGCCGGAAGAAAAGTCAGGTTGATAGACCTGGACACCTCCTTGCTGCATCAATTCTCGAAGGGCCATTGTCGCATACATGCTTGAGCCAAGACCAAATTTGACAACAACTGCAAGTCGCGCAGATCTCGTTTCCTCAGCAACTTCCTCCGTAGCTGGCGCATCTGCCATTTCAGTATCAATGGAAGACGGCTCGACCGGCTCAGATGTATCAGCGTCCCCCTTCATCTCAGAATGAATCACAGCGGGGTTGTCATCCTTCTGATCATTTATTTCAACAACTTCGATGACTGCTTCTGCTTTATTGTTCTCGCCAACAGGACCTTTCGAAATCTCTTCGGCAGATCTCTTCAGCCCGACCGGAGCTTCAAGTTTGACGCCTCCATCTTGAATCTCATTGTCGTCATCAGACTCGGCGACCGGAATTCCAGCGACTTCAATCTTTGTAATCTTTTCGGTATCTGCTGCATCCTTCAAGGCATTACCTTCGAGGAGCTCATTCTTCGAGCCGAGAATTTGTTGAAGTCTGACCCCAGTACGACGACCCTCATTAGTCGCAGAAGTTTGTATGAATGTCTCCTGATAGATTGGCTGCTTAATAGAATCCAAATCGATAGGCTTTAGCTTTTCTTTCTCCCAGGCCTCAGCCGCAGCCTTGTCCTCTTCAGCAAGTTTAGACGGGAGTGCTTTCCAAGCATTGTGCTGAGCGCTACCACCATAGACAGCATGGTTCTGGCGACCTTGTTCTGCAGAATCGGCCATGTGACGAGCACGTCCGCCTTGTCGTGTTCCACCTCGGTTGCTCTGGCGGCCATTATCTTGATGATTGTTATCCTGTTGACCGTTCTCTTGGTGACCGTTGTTCTTTTGGTCGTTATCCTGAGGACAGCTAGTCTCCCGGAGTGAGGCATAGCCATGTGGTTCGCCATCTCTCCTAGTAAAGACGTGGGTTGTTGGGATATGGCGGGGACCATTCTGTTGGGCATTGCGCTTCTCGATGATTTCCCAATCAGTCTCAACCAACTGCTCCTTCTCATCGTAGTAGGTTTTGACTTCGAAGCTCAAGCCCTCTTTGACCTGGCCAATGAGGTGTCTGTAACTACCACTAAGACTAAAGTCCTTGATTTTTCGACGCATATTAGCAGGATCCAGACCACCACCTTGCTCACTAGCCATAAATTCCTTGTAATAGTCTCCAATATCATTGCTGGGATATTCGATATCATAGCCGGGCATTGGAAGAACAATGTCGAAGATGGTGAATGCTCCACTGTTAGCTTCTTCAGCCGAAAGACAGCGAGCACGCTGGTATACTTCATCAGAAGTAAGTGCGGCATCCCCTCCAGATGCGTGAACCACAACTTCTCCATTTTCATCAATTTCATCTTTTTGTTCGGGGGCTTTACTGTCTGACAAAACAAGATCGCCCTGAATAACCTTATTTCCATAGCGTTCCCATCTCTTGGAAGCTACGATGTTCCAGATGAAAGATTGATATGAATGCACGTACATTGTACGGAGGTGTCGTGGGATGGAAAGTATAGCACCTGTATGATCCTCGCGACTGCGGCCTGAAGACATGTGTTGGATGACAGATTTCTCCGCAGCAAATCTTCCTGGGAGATGGTCCCTACAGTGGTTTTTGCCAGTTTCCCGAAACTTGTGGATAGCAAGGGCGCGTCCAATATCATCTCTACCAATGGTACTTCCATCTTGGCCCGATTGAGCTGCTGCGAGTGCATCCTCGTTGAAAGTGAGCAAAGCATTGACAGCGCCCTTGAAATCTCCTTTCAAGATAAACTTGCCGATTTCGTGTGTGCCGATTGCGAAGGTACCAAAACGTTGCAAGCCGAAGTAATTGAGGAAACCACAGGTTTGAAGGTGTTCAATAGCATCACCAACAACCTTTTCTGCCAATTGGACCTTAGTAGCATCATCCATGACAGCATCGTCGCCGAAATGACAATCGCGTAGCGTGATGGTGAAAACATTGCCTTCCAGATCACCCAGTCTGAGTGGGTACTTCTCATGCTTGAAGTCGCCAACTCTTACGCCATATCTCAGCTTTTTGTTGAGCTCGGCCATGTTTGTGGCATGGTGTCGAAAAGCACTAACACGTTGTGCGGTGGCTGCTCGACGATCTTTAGTACCTGCGTAGGCGAAATCTTTGGAACCAGATTTCGTCATCTTAGCCAGCAACGAGACAGCCTCCATGGTGTCTTTATTCTCTTTGTAGAGTGTAAAATGGAGGTATTCTCCCCCAAGTTCTTGCCATCCGACTTTTCCCTTGGGTTTGGGCTGGCCATTCAATTGGCCCCGAAAATTACCTCGCCCGGAATTCTGTTGTCCTCTGCCACCTTGATTTTGTCCTCTGTCACCTTGTCTTTGTGGAGCTGCTGCGAAGATCTTGATAGAATTGTCATCCAAAGCTTCAGTCTCCAGACGAGACTCAAAACGTAAACGCACAAATCCATGAATACGTCCACGGCGGGGTCTGTCATCAATGGGTTCAGATTGAACAGAGCCAAACGAAGCAGCTTTAGCATTGGGTTTGTGTTGGATCTTTGCGTCGAGCTCAATGATCTGGAGCGCTACTGTATTACCAAAATATTCAACAAGAAGTTCCATGTCGTTGAGTCGAAGCTCTTTGATTTGATTAGCAACTGGTTTTTCAGCTGATGGCTGTTCAGTAACACCACCACTGGCTTCGGTAGCTGGAGTAATTAGAGACGTGGAGCTATTGACAGTATCCGCAAGGGACAACACTTCAGTGACAGCAGAATTGGTAGAAGTGAGCTGCATGGGTTCAGTCTGTCCAGACTGTTCAGCTGCTGGCTGATTCTCATCAACAATGCCTGCTGAATCAGCCTTGGTGTTTGCTGCATTCTATTCAGAGCCATTAGCGTTGTTTTAGGAGATGGAACATGAATCGAAAGAAGCTTGTCGGAGGATAACTTACTGGGTTTTGAATGTTTTTTGGGGCTCTGACATCGTTAAGGTGCACAACTTCGCCCCCTAGTGATATCTCATTTACCAAGAAATCAGTGTATCTAATCCACCATGATTAGCTGGAATTCAGAGATGAATAAAATAACAATAGGCATATACTGCAGAGCCATGTCTGTAATGACTGGAAGTTTGTAACAACTGCAAGGAATGAAAAGTGAAAGAGGAAATTGGATGTTTCTTGAATCAACAGATTTTGGAATGCAGATATCCAGAGTTCATGAAAAGAAAAGAGTAGCAAAATTGAAAGCAGTAATCTTGAATCCAGTAACTGAGTCGCATCGGATAGAAAATGAGAACAAGCATACCTTTGTTTCAATATACCTTGGAATCCAGGATTTTTCTTGTTGACATAGTGAAGAATACCAGAGCGAACTTCTTGAACATGGTCAGGTCGAGAAGATAATGGAACTTCCGAAACCAATTTTTGATTTGGTTTATCGGTCTCCATTTTGTCGCTCGGATTTGCGTTTGTTTTGGAAGTAGTTATTGTATTGGATGGAGAAGGATGGGGAAGAGAGATTGAAGTTGAGGTTGAGTTTGAGGTTGAAAAAGAGGCATCGAGCTTCTGCCTTTTCCGAGGTGATGAACCTTGTTCATTATTTTCTAAGCTAGCCATATTTGTCGATAAAGTTCGTTCACCTTTCAATCTTCTAGTCTTAAATTAGAAAGAACCTCAAATTAAATTGGGAAGGTTCCGATGAGAAGGTGATAAGTGAAGTGAATTAAGATGAGATTTTTCTCTGACTATATTTAACACGTGATCATAACCTTACTCCACACACACTAACTACGGCAACCAGACTGAGAGGGTTTGAACTTTGAACAGGTTTGAACTGAACTTTGCACATTCATCTTCTTTTTTGACTTCACTGTCCAAGACTATGTATGGAAACAAACATCAAATTGAAAAATTTCAAGCAATTGTATTCATATTCCTTCATTCCTTCATTCATTCATGCTTTCATGCATTAACCTTACTCGGGTAATTAACCTATACCATATACGAGAATAGTAATGACACCCCCTTAGAGCTTTCCACTATCCTATCACTACCATCCTATCAGCATGATTGATGTATGGATCCCATTTTCATCTCGGTTTTACACCTGTTCTCTCCAGATTATCAATCAGTCTTGTGCTTATTTCAAAAGGAGTGATGGTGGATATGGTTCTTCTAGCGAAAGTGGAAGCGGAAATGCATTTTCGAGCCTGTGCGCTTTATCATCGAGCAATTTATACGCAGGTTGATCGTAAACCTTCAACTTCTGTATGAAAGCTTTCCGAGCCATATCCTTTTTACCTTCTGCAGCTCTATATTCTTTGCAAGCAGCTTCACCTTTGCGTGCCTTGATATAATTCTCAATCATCCTATTATATATGATGAAGTTGTCCATCTGCCACGGAGTTGGAACTGTATCTAGTTCTTCCATTGTATTCTGTCCTGCGAGTTCTTCGAGCGTTATAGTGTTGCGATATATGTCAGGTCCAGCTGACAGCTTCAAGAGAACTTGACCCCAACTTTCGATCTTGTAGCTACATAGATCAGCATATGCATAGAGTGATAAGTTTCCAACATCATATACTTACAGACCATCATACCGTACCCCAAGTCTGGGTGCTCTCTCACTTTTCAACTGGTGACCTCGCAGAAGCCTGATCACAGTACCGACACACGTGAGCCGAACGGCATGGTATGCGCATACTCTCGACTCAATGATGTGTACCCAGTGTCTCCATCCGGCGCCTTTGATCTCAAACCCGGAAAGCATCGAAAATGCGACCGGTTTCCCATTCACCCCCCAAGTAAATCCATCCTTTGCGTCAGGTACAATTCCATCACGAACGGCGCAATGTGTGTTAAGAAACCAACTACTCGCTCTCTTGTAAGTACTTGTCCATTGAGAGGTGTGGGCAACTTACGCTCCTGGCTCAAAACTCTCATTAGCTTCCTTCTCTGAAAAGGTTTCCGCCCTTTTTATTTCCCACATGGGGCCATTTACTTCCGATATATCACCAGTGGTTTGTAGTTCCAAGTCCCGGAGACAGCCAGCCTCCTTCATCAACTTCAATCGCTCGTCATCCATGGTATGATATCTCTCTCCGAAGGTTTCGATCCATTGCCCGCGAAGCTTTTTTGCTTTCCTCATAACCTGTCTGTATAAAGGCCCTTGGCTGAGAAAATTGTTTGTGACGTGTTGCAAAATCTCCTCAACGATTTTATCCAATCGAGCCTGGGCAATGACTTCAAATTCCAGAGATGGCCCTTCGTCTAGCAGGTCGTCAATCAAACTTTCTAGCGTGTGTATCTCGTTGAGAGGAAATACGGGCTTCCTCAACTGCTGGCGTATGAAGTCCGACTTGTCAAGACGATAGTCATCTCCGTCTTCAAGTGGGGGCTTCGATAACTCTGATATTTTTGATACTCCAAATAAGACAGACCGACCTGAGGATTCTGAAAATGTTGGAGACCATGGCATTGATTTCATAGGAGAGGTCACGAATTGTGAAAGCGGGGCTGTCACAGTATCAGCTCAGTATTCCAATCAAAAGTAAAGACCCAGAAACAAATTGCTCTCTTACTCAAGGGAATCCCTAATGGGAGTTGCCTCGGTGAAGGCTTGTTTCCTGACGTCGTGAATTGACCAAGCGCATAATCTCGCTCGTCTCTGCCCCCAGTGCCCCCAGTGCCCCCAGTGCCATCAAATTCCCAAAAATCTAGGGGGTGTGCTACTATCGTCGATCTTTCGGTGTCGATCTCTGGTATATCATCCAGACGTATCGGCATCTGACGTAAAGGGGGCACTGTGTAGTCAGAGATGACTTCACTCATCTTGATTGGTATATTTCCACACTTCTCGGACGACATGTGAAAAGCTTTACAGTAACGACATATGGCGCTCGAGTTTACCCTGGAGTTTTGATTGCAGACAAGTTTCTCGATGTGACTTTCATGATCGCAACTTTTCGGAAATGGCGAGCAAAACATTTGTGAATCCATGATTGGCAGGTCCGAAGGAGGGTTACTTCCTCATGAGATTTGAGTTAGTGCGATTTGGATTCACCACGAGAGATAAGTTAAGTATACACGACGTTGAATGGGAAAGTTCTTCATGTACAATCGGGGATTCGCAATTTTCTTCTGAGATTGAAGAACCATTGTATGAATATATTCATTTTTAAAGTTTGTTAATAAATTATTGTTTATTGGAGCTGTTGGGTTGGGTTATGGGAGGAAGGAGGGTCGATGTTGAAATATGATTATGACTCTCTTCCCCCCAATAATGGTAGTAGTATAGTTGAGTAGACAGAATATTTACAGGTTCAATTTGAGTTCCCAAGGATAATTCTCCAAAGTTTATCTTCATGGCTCTTCTTTGTGTGTACGTCGGATTTCGAAATCTGACCTCCCTCAAACCTGAATTCTACAACTTCCACAAGGTAGCCAAGAACTACCCCTTTGGCAGGAAGTATTATCCGCCATATTCTCATCTCACTCCAACTGGAGAACCAATCGCACGACAAAATTTAGTAATGAAAAACTCGATGTGACGATTGCTATCTCTTGGCATGGACCCTATCCGTAAGTTTCACGAGGTGATCGGTAGATCCACGTGGGATTCTTTGTTAAATGTTCGAACTTCCTACAACGCCAAGACACTATCTTGTCTTCTTATTATGCTTTCTTTGTTGTCACTCTACAACAATCATCAGCTTCATCTGTATGAAAAAAGACATTGTTCCTCCTACTTAGTTCACGTTATCAATCTATTTGAAAGTACTCAAAAATGCATTTACTTGCTCGAAAAGGAGTAACTTCTCGGAGAGTGACAATATAAAAAACTGTGAGAATGTCATTGGCGACATTAATCGAGATACTCTAGACTATCAACGCATCTTCTGGTAGCTGGTCTTGAATCTCGAAACCTCATTTGGACTGATAATCCAGAGGCACGCTAAACATCAATTATCTCAAATCCACAACTCAGTTCGGATCAACCCGCACAGCTTCCACAAAGATGATGCAAGGTCATTAAAGCGCCCTGAAGACAAAGTAACAAAATCCACTCAATCATCACAATATTTTGCAATGAAAATTCTGACGAGTATCTGGTGGAGAATATTTTACATCTCCTTTGTAAATAAGAGTCTTTGGCTATATAAAAAACTCCTAGGAACCTCTCTCTATTACTATGAGACAACAACTTGTCGTTGGACTGAGCTTTCGGTGATGTGAAGTACCGTAGGTCTCATGCTGTTCTATCAACCAATGCGGCGTGTATTATTCACACTGGATGATGGTAAATTCCCTAAACTCCTTCAAGTTCTTTGATAATGATGTCGGTAAATCCCGTGTTGTCCAATAGGGGGCAGCCATGGCCGTCTGAGTAGCTTTAGAGGGGACCTTAGTCCGGTCCCGAGGTTTGGTTTGCTGCGTTGTAACGCTTGATGTCGAACATTATCTAGGTTTATATGCGAATACCCAGCCCTCAATATGATATACAGTTCAATTGCTCTACTCTGATTGGCTGCAAAAACGCCGAGGTTGAGTTTCGATGGTGGGGTTTCATAGCCGAGCAAACAGAGACATCAACCCTGAGTCTCAGCAAAATATTTCCATAAGATTGCTGCATTTCCACTATAGTATAATCATAATCCGAAATCATCATGTCCCAAATCGATCTAATAGCAATTATTTTCCCCAAGGAGGGGAAAGCAGATAGGGTGAGCATCGATTTTATGCCAGCGAGTTTCGTTGGTCACTAATCCATACCCCTTTTCATCAGGTTGCAGAACTCCTCAATGAAATCTCTAAACATGTCCACGCAACTGAGCCTGGGACATTGAAATATGAGGTTAACAAGGAAGTCAACAAGAAATCTGGTGCTGAGGAAATTATCATGTTGGAGAGGTGAGTTTGATATCGTCTATTGTCTGTATGTACAGTATGAATTATGAGACTGATAGGTAAATCACTAGCTATAAGGATAAAGCTGCGATTGCAAGTCATGGAGCCTCGGAGGAATTCAAAGCTTTTGGAAAGAAGTTGAAGGATGAGGATCTTATTGCTAAGCCTATGCAATTGAAGTTTCTGAAGAATGTTGGAGGTTTTTCGTCGAGGTTGTGATGATGGAAGGGAATGAATTATAGAGGAGTTTGTGGTTGACCTTGTACAAGGTATCAAAAGGGCCAAAAATGTGGAAGTTGGATTCAATCGTGATGTGAGTATTGTCACGTGATGGCATGAGCAGCCTACCTACCATTGACTTTTGATGGAACTTTTGTATGAGAATGTAAACCGAGAAAGTACCTACCTAGTATAGGTAGGGTAGTATGTCTCTTTTGGTGCATTCGGTTTCCCGGTTAGCGAAAGCTTGTGCGTCATCAATGGACTTTTTGTCCCTTTCCCTTTCCCTTTCCAGATTTATGAAGAATCGTACCAATCAGTTTCGATCTAATCGATAGTGACTTCTCTTTTCATTCATCACCACAATCATCGGCATTGAAAGATAACCTGGTCAATTGTTCCATCTTGAATCCAAGTACTTTGAACAGGTTTGTCTTCCTTCAACAAATTGTACACGCATACTTGATCACATCATGGAGCATGAATGTGAACAGCAGCGCTTCACTCCATTGGTATTCACCTCTCACAAAGGGAGGGTATTCCAAGTAGATGTTGATGAAAATCCACAATTATCGCCAAAGCACGTCAGATCCAACAGTATAATATCAATTGTTGAGCTGAGGGCTTCATCCCCATCTCCACCAAAAGTACACGGCCTAGGAGGACTCGATGGCCATGGATCCGAGACTCCACAACTTCCAAGGTACGTCCTTGATGATAACTACGGATCAAGGCAGAGTTCACCCAGATAGCAGACACATATATGAATGGAGGGTGGATCCAATTCAGAGAACACAATGCTGACAAGAACTTTTAGGATACTATCTCCCCGCCATTCAAGCCGTTCCTCATGCGGAGGCTCTCCTCTTATCTCCTTCACTACCTCCAGTCAGTTAAACGAAGCAGAGGCAACTTCAGACACGCAACCATCATCCTCTCCTAGGAAACCCGAAAATTCCTTATGTGATGACTTTGAGGATCCTGATGTTTGCAAAGCTTATATGGTTTACAATGAATATGGGGAACTGGTCAACGCTCATAACCATCTGCAAACTCGAAACACGCTTGATTTGTCGGCTACTGAGATATTGAGATTGATTCTAAAGGCATATCACCATGATGTTAGTTCTTTTTTGTTGTCCTTAACTGCACTTGTGTTATTGGAGACAGACTACTGCCCAGAGTAATTTAGGGATCTTATGCTGATTTCAAGCTCATAGTTTAGAGCTAGAATGAACGATATGGAACAGATCAAGGGCCAGAGCTCATTGAGCTCGGAAAAGGGCAATCTTACATGGGAGGAAAAGTTATCATGTTGGGAATACAGCCCGAGCTTATCTGCAAAGACCACACCAGTCAATGGGGAACTGAAGACTGTTCCTGTATACCAAGGACCACCTCGGGTATTGGAGGTATGTATTGTCTGATATCTATCAGCCTCATGCTAAGTAGGATTAGATTGGTTGTAGTGATGGAAGTTGGTGCTTCAAAGTTAAGGAGGATCAACCAGATTGGACAGTAGAGGGCGTCGATGACACGGATCATTGGTCTTGTGTGCAAAAGGACATCCAGCTTAAGTATGATAATCTTTTATGTTTTAAAATTGATTTTTGCAATCAAGATACTCATGAGACGACAGGGACTTCATCATCCCAACCCCCGACGCGGATTTAACAGATTACTTCAGCCGTGTCAATTCTTCGCAAGCACAAACCGCTCCGGATTTCAATGTTCGAAATCTCAATTGTCTTTTAGCCCACCCTGACCCTCTTCCACATAACCTTTACTCCTTTATCCGTGGAAGAGATGTGTTTGATAGAATTGAGAGTTACAAGAGTTTCCTAGATGACATTCGCTTGTGAGTAATTTTTCGCAAGACACCGATGCTTATCAGGGACCAGTACTCATTGTCGATAGGATTCTGCAGCCCGGTGGTGTTGTAGAATTCCTCGAAGTGGATCCCAGACCAAGATATAAATTAGCAGGTCACACTTCCGCCAAGCGTGAGGATTATCACAAGAGCAAAGCCCACACCGACTGGACCGACAATATTTCTGATAGGCTTAGGCGTCCATCTCACGACGATGAACTTGCAAAGACAGTGCCAGGCTGGATGAAAAGAGTCACAGAACGTCATAAGGCAATACTCCGCCCACGAGGTGGAATTCCTGCGGTCAATGTAAAGGCTTGGCTAGAGGGAGCAGGGTAAGCTAGTGAAATACATTTCGTGTGACAGGCTAATATTATGTAGGTTTTGGGATGTTAATGAGATTATTCATCGACTACCTGTGGGGGGACCAACAACTACTGGTCGGCGGCTGAAAGAATTTATCCTATACCAAATCGAGCTTGAGAACGATATCCCACAGGTACCACTTTCCTAGCCGACTTATCATTTATTAGCTGATTGAAATATTAGCTTCGTGACAGATTTCCACCTGTTGAATTTGAGGAGATCGAGAGCGGCAATTACTACCTCACCCTACACATTGTAACAGCGCGTAAGCCACGCTATTCCCGAGCAGGTGATCTCCTCATCGGCGGCACCAGAGAGGAAATGACAGATGTGAAATACGATCAGATGGCCCGAGGCAATGAATTGAAGAACCAAGCAGGATGGAAAAGGTTGTCTCGAGAAAAGAATGATTTTTTATCTCCTATATGCTAACCTATTTGCATCTGGATAGATTCGAATTAGGTCGTATTTCTGAAATGATGACTTCATTTGAGGAACACCATCCTGGCAATATTCCAGCCTCGTCGCCGCTGTCTCACTTGCGGGAAGCCTGATAACGTTAGGGCGAGGAGGACATAGATGATGATGAATGATATGAATAGGATGCATAGTTTCTTTGCCTTCATCGTGACCAAAAATATGAATAACAGGGATTATGAAATGAGTGGTTTGCTTCCATAATGTACAATAGCAATTAGATCTTGCAACACTAGTAGCTCAGCGGGTGATGATTCTCGATATCAAAATAATGTGAATGTGACATACTTATTCACACCATATGTTTCGAGCCCTTCTAAGAAATGGTAAAAGTCCATGCACATTGGATATCCAAAGCGTTGCAATTTTGGGCTCATTCCTATAGATTACGCAGTAATTACCTTAAAACAGGAAAAGTTGACTTTTGATCACACAAGGAATCAGATTGCCCAGGCGAAACAAATGACCATCAAACACTTTCTCCATTATTATGCCACAAAAGCCCTCAAAATTCAAATTGAACATGATAATAAAGCATCCCCAAAACACCTTGATTTCCGTCCGCAGAGCTCCCCTTCTACTCCTTGCCCATTCTCATCCCTCCCAATTTCCCATTTTCCAACACTCAACACCTCCCTCTAACCCACTTCCCAAGTTCCCACCCCTGACTCTTCTCCTTCCCCAAACTATCTTCCCCAAAACCAAAATTCGGCTGGTCATGATACTCATTCTCTACCACCTTGAACTCAACCCCTGTACTCTCAGTCCCCGTCTCTGTCTCTACCTCCTGCAACTTTCCCGCAAAAACCTTCACATCGTCGATGAACACTTCGTTTTCGCCGGATACAAGTAGGATGGAGGTCACGGCGCTGGGGAGACGTGTCCACCATGATTGGGAGGCGTAGAGGGGCTCGATGTAATTATCGGAGGGCGTGGAAGATTGGTATGCACCGGACCACTTTTGGGGGGAGGGAGGGTGTTAGGTAGGTGAAATATTGTGTGCGTGGGAGTGGGGTGGAGGTCAAGATAGAGGGGTATAAGGGAATGGAGAGGAGAAAGCAAACTTACGAGTTTGATAGCAGTAGGATGGATTAGATCTTTATATTTATTCGCCTCGAAAGATTTCGAGCTCGTGCCAAAGGTAACCCAGGGTGCGAGGAGCACGGCTCCATCGAGTGGTTCGGTGAGGCGCACGCGGGGAATGCTTTCGTTGGGATGCCCATGCATGATGTGGGATAGCAGAGCGAGGACAAGATTTGCGCCTGCGGAGTCGCCGGCTAGGATTATGGAGGATGAGGGGTAACTAGTCTCGGTTAGCCTTTTGCAAAGAGGTCATTCGTGTTGTGGAGATATTTGAAAAAATAAAAAATTTAGACTTACTTTAATGTGTGCATGACGTGATTTAGTAACGCAGCGGCTTGTATCAATTGTCGGGGGTATACTGCACTTGGGGAAAGATCTATATGCATTTCTTTAGTATCAATACACCGACACCCAACCCATATGATGTAAAAAGTAAGAAAGAACGGATAAATACCATACCATAAGACAGAAGCAACACCGCCAAACTCTTCTCTTCTTTCTCCGCCCCATCCACAAGCCTGAACATGAACTCGACCGATTCAGTTGTTGCAGGCAGTACAAATCCACCCCCTAACGATCAACATTAATTCCGAGTCTCGTTTGTCGCTACGCGAGAAAGAATTATGGACGAACCGTGAAAGTTAAGGATTATTTTCTTGGCTCCTTTTTTGCCTATCCAATGGGCCTGCGTTCCATCTTTCAATGTCTCGCTCGAGGGCTTCACACCCCGTTGCTTGCAGATGCTTTCGTAGGCGTAATCTGTGTTTGGGTTGATGTATCTAACCTTTTATTAGCAAGTGATTGCATAATAAAATAGTACGAGCCCTTTCATCTCTAATGAGAATCTTCGTAGCAAATTAAAGTAAATCGAAGGCCATCAAACGCTCCATGCATTACCGAAAAAAAAACATCGCATTACAACCAAACTACCCTAGAGAAAGAAAAGGAACAACCACTCACAAGATCTGTCTCGGAGTCAATCTTCTACACATAGTCCTCACAGCCGTATGAAGAATATATCTCTTATAGCTACCCCTCTTTGCACTTCTCGTTCGCCATATACCGGTAAGGAGACTGAGGAACGTGTTTCCTACTATTCGTTTCTTGGGTTAGACTCTCATCATTCGAGCAAGTACAATTGATATATTTGAGTATATTGTAGAAAGAGGAATAGAAAGAGGAAAGTATAGAAAGAGAACGAGGGCGAAGACATACAAATACTCGTATAGGCAAGAACTACATCGATTTTCTCCGCAGCAGATAATGTGCTAATTAGCTTTTTTTGGGCGAGAGTCGAGGAAGACATTTGTGGGGATGAAGTTTTGTTTGTTGGACATTTGTGGGCATTAAGCAAGTGTGTTTGTGGGTGGAATAGGAGTAGATGAGAGACAAAATTAACGAAAGGAAAGAAGGGAATGGAAAGGAATCGGAGATCGTTCAAGCTGTGGAAACCCTTCCCCGCGTTCGGATGCATATACTCGGGCGGGTCTTTGAAGAGGGATACGCAAAATAACCGAATTTGCCCCTTCAAAATATGATATTTTCTAATATTATTTGATAATATT